CGCTGGGGATCGGACAGGCGGCGTCGTTTGTGCTGCAAGTCAAAAACCCGCTTGCGCCGGCAACCGGGCCGCAGCAGGCGCGCAGCCAGGGCGCGGCGTACCCCGAGGACATCCTGCGTGGTGTGTTTGGGAAGGGCGGCACACGGGGCAAGGAGGCTTATGGACTCCGGTTTGCGCGGTGCGAGATGCCGGAGCTGCTGGATTACCCGGGTGCAGAGGTTTTGTTTATTGCGGCGAGTGCTGGAGAGGAGGGCCTGGAGACAAGTCTGGGCGAGGGCAGGGGAAGAGGTGGGTGTTTTTTATTTTTTAAATCAGATGTGACAATTGGTTTGCTAGCACTATCTGAGCTCGAGGAAGAGGAGAGCAGAGAGGCAGTGGAGGCTTTGTTCAACGTGGACGCCGCAGAGTTTCCTGCTGAGCCTCTGGAAGGAGAGTGGATTTAATAATCACTGGCATGTTTGTAAGGAGGTAGAAAAGAATTTACAAGTTCGGATACGGGGAATCGAACCCCGAGCTGCCGCGGAACTCTTCTAGAGTGAACAGATGAAAGGCGGCAATGTTAGCCGTTACACCATATCCGAATCTATTTTAACATGCAAACTTTGGATCAAAAAATGCTCAGGACCCACACGACAAGCGTCTCAATGATGAATACCGAGTTGATTCGGGAGGGCTTCTGTAGCCTGTCCCACCTCGGTTTACTGTATATTCCATCCACCTGGTGGGCTATTTGTGCTATTGATGTGAGCGCAGCGATTGGTGCCATGTGGTGGAGTATACTGTGAATGCCTGTTCGTGTAAAGTCAGGGCTAATACAAATCTGCAAGCAAGGGGGAACAAGAGTATGAAATCGGGGTAAGGTGCGAGAAAGGGTAAGGTGTGAGAAAGGTTCGTATTGTGCAAGGGGAAAGTTGGCAGGTCCGACATGTCCGTAGAGTGAAAAGAATTGAGGTCCGACTTGTCCGTAGAGTGTAAGGAGAGTCCAAAACGAAAAAAGAGAGAGGTCCGATCTGTCCGTATAGTGAAAGAAAGTTGGAAAGTATTTGAAAGAAGAACCGAAAGAAAATTTTGAATTGGAAGTGGTCCAGTGTGTCTGCAGAATGAAAGTTGAACCTGTTAGAATCGGACGTGACGATGTGACGAGGTAATGGGGTGCCACGAACCGAGGCCAGGGCCATCCTTTGTCTACACTTACTATATATACAAGGACCGCTCATAGAGTACATCAGGAAGAATCGACTTATCTCTGGAGCGCAACCTATGTTATGTAGTAGGGCTGCACACCGTAGCCGTATATACGGCATACGGCAACCGTATTACGGCTACCGTGCCGTACCGTCAAAGATTTAGGTGGATTCTATACGGTACGGTTACGGATGGTTTAGTGCTGTACTAAACAGTGAGTTACGGCCGTAATTGTGGGCAAGATAATTAACAAATAAAAATACAATCAGCAACTTGAGAGTGCCTGGAGAACTAGGGTGCACGGCTATGAGAACAACAGAGAGCAATGCGTTAAGGAATGATGTAGTTGTATGACATCATTCAAAATTGATACTCCGATTTACATCGTCTTCTTATCTACACCCAGTGCTCACTGCTCATCACGATAGTCGAAGATGCAGTACTAGTAGTGGCTAGTTTTTAGATGATATATATATGTGAGTCCTCTCTCAATTATTTACTCACTTTTGGCTTATAGAATCATGCCTTCATTACACTAGATATAGTTTATTTATTTCGTCATGAAAGATTTTGAAATAACCGTGACAAATCTCAGGGCACATTCCAAGCGCGATCGTGATTATGAGAAATTTACACAACAATTTTTTAACATCAAAGCTCTTTAAAAACGTGACTGACACTTTTCTGAGCCCTTGACAGTTCTTAGCTTGCATCCATGCCTTCAGACACTCAATGTGCTCTCGATAACCAGGGAAACCTTAAAGATGCAACAGATATTGAATGGTTCAATGATCCCAATGACAAGCTTCCCATTAATCCAATTGCTGCAACCCCTGACTCATCGACTCATCCATCTGGTATGTCAACATTTATTATAACTAACTACTCAATTAATTTTGTTCTGAGCAAGGTCTACGCTGTGGAACTCATAAGCGAGATCCACAAAGGCTATTCTACCTGACTGCTGCTGATAAACTTGACAATGATGGGAATCTTCAAAAGAAATTCACACCAACCCAGATCCAGCCATGCACACGCCCTCATAAATCATTGAAGAAGTCTACCAATGACAATTCCATGGCCAGCGATGATGACAGTAATGACGAGAACTTCACTACAGGTAGCGAAGGGTCAGAAAGCAATGAAGATAGTAATGTTGTCATATCTAATTCTGAGGTACAGTCACCACTCAAGATTACTTTTGCACAAAGAAATGATGATGCTTTTTTTGACAGCTTGCTGATTCCCTACCTTCAAAAAGTATCCCATCAACTGGCCGTTTTTCTGGGAAGCAAAAGCGTAGTGCAGTTATCCTAGAAGAGGTCGAAGATGTTAACAGTGCACAAAACATCAGCGAGCGGTCTGGAGTTCCAATGGGTAGCTCGATACTTGAGCCTGATGAAGGTGAATGCCATAATCAGGCCAAAAAGCCAAGAGTGGTGAGCTATGGTTTCATTTGCGCTTCAATTGTTTCTAACCTATTTCCAGAATGCAAAACACAATCTGATCCATTATTTTTTTGGATCTGTTTCCTGCGCTGCTGATGGAACTTGAAGAGTAGGTAACAAGCACTATAAGTGTTTGCATGGGAAACGCAAGGTTATCACAGTGACAGCTATTATGAAGAGCAATTTAACAGGTGAGTGGACTAATAGACATATGTGATGACTTATCAATAATAACATCAATTATAATTAGGTCTAGTTAAAGCTCTGAAAGCCATGTCTGGTCTTATGCACACCCTGTATCTTTTGCTTAAGGATAGGGGTTCAAATGTGCCTATCATGCAAGAAGAGATTGACATTGCATTGGGAAAGACTCCTTTGGACTCGAATATGACTCAAGACTTCATCTCAAAGCTGAAAGAGAGGGCTGACAGTATTGAACAAGCATTTCAGAAACAGTGTGATGCAGCCAGAGTAAGCTGATATTTCTAGTTGTCTGTGCGCTATCTGACCTTGTTCCTTGGATTGTAGGAACTCTGGGACCAGAGAATATTTGAAGATCTGCTCACTAAGTGGATTGTCGCATCTGATAAACCATTTGATGAAGTTGAAACACCTAAATTCCAAGATTTGCTAAAGTACATGCACCATTCAACACCAGCATTACATATTCCTGGTCGTAATGTTATTAAACGGCAAGTGATGGACTTGGAAGAAGCTATTATTGCAGAGACAAAGAAAATGTTTGCTGCAAGTGTATCAATATTTTCTCCTAATTATGCCACTGATTATTGAGATGATTTTATAGAAACTGGATTGTACAATTTCTATATCTCTTGATGCATGGACATCGAGTAACATGTATGCATTCATGGCAATTGTTGCCCATTATGTCAACAACAATGGTGAATTAGGCAAGTGATATCAGTTTTTGTGTGCGCATTAAAGAGCTGACCTTACATGACAGAGGAATTTCTTATTGACTTCTGTGAGCTTGTAGGGGAACATTCAGGTGAAAATATGGCCGAAGCAGTGTGGGATACACTTGTTATGTATGGGATTAAAAAACACATATGGATTTCTTTTCTGGACATCTGATTTGTGTTCATTACTCTTCAGATATTTTCTCTGATGCTAGATAATGCTTCCAATAACGATACTCTTGTTGATGGCATTGAGCGTCATGCCTGAGCAGCAGGAATATCATTTCAAGGGTCATGGGCACATCTACGATGCATGCCACATACAGTGCATCTTGCAGCAATTCAGGTAATACTAAACCCAGATTAATGAAACTAAAATAATGGCATATCAGCTCCTTGAGTCGATTGGTGCCCTGTCAAGCACAGAGGCAAAGAAAGCTCAATCCTGAAGTGGTAACTACCAAAATACCATCACTACACCAGTTGATGGTAGTGATGATGAGAATGATTCTGCCGTTGCACAAAATGATCAGGATGATGAAGAAAAACAAGTTCTACAGCCATCTGAAGTCTCAGACAATATTTTCACTGCTGTTGATAAGGTAAGTTATCTCTGTCTTTGATTGCTCTCAACACCTGTTCTGACATAGCATTAGGGTCAGCTGTGGCTGTCGAACACATTTTCTCCAGGGGTCGCAATACTATTTCCCTCCATCGTGCCAGTCTGCACCCTAATACTATTAGAACACTTATGGTTGTCAAACAACAACTCAAGATGGCTTGATATTCCTTAGATAAATTACTATAGTACATGTTTTTGCTATTTGCCTTTGCCATCCACGGTATTAAACCATTTACAGCCATAGGAGCGCTGTAACGTACTGTTAAAGGTATTAAATTTTATTCTACAGTACAGTTTGTGGTTTCTGTAACTGTTTTAGCCATAAATAGATGGCGTGCACCCCTATTATGTAGAGATTATAGTTCTGTAGACAAGCCCCCCCCCCCCTTAGATAGGCATCCATAGATGCCTCTTCTGATATATACTTCTAGGTAGTGCCCATATCTTACTCCATAGCTCTGTATAAACCTACATTGGTTCATGCCACCTTGCTATAGAGTATATCTATTGATGCTGAGGAGACCTACGTTGAGGCATGTCACCTCGTTATAGCAAATATCTATGGACGCTATGCTACTCAATGTTAGGCAGTGTCACCTCATGATAGAGACTCTTGACAGGCTCTATTGAGCTCTACTTAGTCAGACAGTTTGCTGCATAAAGATATAAAACTTCTTCAGACTGTAACTAATGTCAACATTATCTGATATCTAGCAGACGTTACGAACCTTGCTGGCATTTTTGAAGTTTCTTGGCCTGTTGTGCTTGAAATGCATGCAAGCCCATCCAATTTACTGTTTGTATGGAAGCAGAGCTCAAGGATCCCCCGCCAAAGATCTTGAACTTGCCCTTGCTCAACTTTCGTTGGTGGAGCATTGCCTGCTGCAAATACAGGCAATGCCAGCACAAGTTTGGACACGTGATTGCACAGATGTCAAGGTAATCATTGTTAAACATTACATAAGTATTGAACTCATCCTCAATCAATCACTCAGGCAGCATTACTTTTGTGAGTAGTTTTCAGTTTTCTCTATCCACGTGCTGCCTCCTTCACTGCAGTACGCTTGGTTCCTTCAGGTATCACCTCTGGGACCAAGAAAAAAAGCATACTGCAGAGCTGGAGCCAACATGCAGGTGCGTTGCATGTTTCAACATGAGCTAACGGTTACTTTTGCAGCATTATTTGCTGGCTGTTGAACATGCACTTGGTAAGAATTTATTGGTCCCAGACTTGCCAACTAACAATGACCCTCAGACATGTTCAGGCGCCATGTTTTCCTCTTACAATTTTATACCAATTTACTGCTCCAGCGGCATCAACTTCCCTGCGCTGCTCTGTGACTCTATAGCAACTGAGGAAACCTGCCTAGAAGATGTAGAAATGCCTGTCAAGCCTGGTAGCGCAT